AGAAGCCCCCGTGAAATAGAGCCCCCAATCGACCGGACGCTGGCCCTCAGCGTCCAGTCACGTGATGCACGCCACGTGTCCCTTGCTTCAAATACAGTTCGTCAGATTTCAACGGTCATCTCTTGACCGGACACAGCGCACAAACTGACCGGACTCTGAGCCACCAGCGTCCGGTCGTTTTCAGTAAGGTTCCAAACACGAATCTTCACGACCGGACTCACCCAGCGTCCGGTCCTCAACGCCTCTCCTCAGGCGCCTCACGTCGGCAGACGTCGAGATCGACCGACTACACACCGCCGTCCGGTCGCCGAGCGACCTAGCATCCGGTTATTTGACCGACGCCGGCGTCTTCGTTGTTACACCTGACCGGACGCGCCGGTCCAACCGAGACCAGTGTCTGGTCACTTACAGTGACCTCCGTCTTTTCTGTCTAGGGCGCCGGTGGCACCGTCGGACTGTTCGCACTCTACGGGAGGACACTCCGCCGGTGAAATCTTTTACCCTTACTCAAATGTGTCAACCACCAAGTGTATCACCTTGTGCACATGTGTTAGCATATTATCACAAACATTATTAAGGGTGTTAGCACTCCACTAGATCCTAAGTGCATATGCAATGAGTTAGAGCATCTAGTGGTACTTTGATAACCGCATTTTAAATACGAGTTTCACCCTCTTAATAGTACTGCGGCTATCGATCCTAAATGTGATCACACTCTCTAAGTGTCTTGATCACCAAAATAAAATGGCTCCTACAATTTATACATTTGCCTTGAGCCTTTTGTTTTTCTCTTTCTTCTTTCCAAGTCTGATCACTTGATTATCACCATGGCATCACCATTATCATGTTATGATCTTCATTTGCTTCACCACTTAGAGTGTGCTACGTATATCATGATCACTTGATAAACTAGGTTAGCACTTAGGGTTTCATCAATTCACCAAAACCAAACTAGAGCTTTCACTCGGGCAATGAGGCGCACCTTGTGCTTGACAATGATGTCGTGTTCGTCCCGCTTGACCTTGTACATCCACTTCAGGCCGATTGGACGGTGTCCTAGAGGTGGATCGATGAGCTCCCAAGTCTCTTTTTCCTCGATCACCTTCATCTCCTCTAGCATTGTTCGTCGCCAATTTGCATCGCGCTCGGCCAGCGCGAACATGGGTGGTTCCTCTACACTGACGAGAAGCAGCTCTGGGTCATTGAGCAGCTGACTCGCCAGGCCTGAGGACCCTGTGCCATCGATGATGTCATCTAGCCTATGTAACCGCACCTCTTCACCATCGTGGAAGGCATCCACGAACTCAGTAATGTCGCTTGGAGGTGAGGCGAACTCGATCGGCATCGATGGAGTCCCCTGTTCCGCCGGAGTGGTCGGCACAGCACCTGTAGTGCTCGGCACCCCGGCTGCAGTATTTGGCACTGCTCCTGGACCGCTTGTCACCACTTCTAGAGTGGTTGGCACCACTGTAGGAGTGCTCGGCACCAATCTTGGAGTGATCGACACCACTGCAAGACCTCTCTCGCTCCGCTTCGAGAGCATTTGGCACTGGCCCCCTAGAGTGGTTGGCACCATCAGGACCACTCGGCACCATTACGGGGCGTTCAAAGACTCGTCCCCGAGTGGTTGGCACCACTGCAGGACCTCTCGCACCACTCACTCGGAGTGCTCGGCATAGGAGTGCTCGGCTCTGTTGCTGGAGTGGTCGACACCTCCTCTCCAGCGTTTCCCCACCGTGGATGACCAAATGCTCGACGACGAAGGTACTGGTGAAGCCGCCAGCTTCCCCTGTGCCCGGACTGTCCAGTCCTAGGCCGCCTTCTCGTCGAACACGACGTCGCACGAGACAACCACCTTGCCTCCGCGTGGGTCGTAGAGCCGATACGTCTTGGTACCTTCCTCGTAGCCTAGGAGCACCATCGGTGTGCTCCTGTCCTCCAGCTTGGTAAGGATCGGCTTTGTCTTTCGAACGTGGCGATGCAAATAAATATCTAGAGGAAGGACACGCTTCGCTTGCGCCCATACCAATCTTCGAACGGCGTCACACCCTTCAAGGCCTCTGTGGGCGCACAGTTGAGGATGAACACCGCCATGGTTACCGCCTCACCCCAGAACCTTGCCGGCATGCTTTTGGCCTTCATCATGGATCGAGCCATGCCGACCACCATCTGGTTCCGCCGCTCCACCATGACATTCTGCTGCGGCGAGTACGACATGGTGTGGTGCCGCACCACACCCCGATCCGCAGATGACGCAACGAACTCGACCAAGTGAATTCGCCGCCACGATCACCCTCAAAGACATGCAACTTCTTGCCACTCTCCACCTCTGTGGGAGCCTTGAACTTCTTGATCGCGCCCGACGCCTCTCGCCCTTGCTCATTAGGAGTTGCGACCACATATAGCGACTGCAATCATTCATGAATAGGAGGAAGTACCGCTGACCACCGTCTGTGGCTGGCATGATTGGCCCGTAGAGATCACCGTGGACGAGCTCGAGAGCGTCCGCCGTGCGATACTTGGTCGTCTTTGGGAACAGCAGCCTCCTTTGCTTTTCGCCAGTACAAATGTCACACGCTACGCTGCGTGCTGATGTGGGGCAGCCCTCGACCATCTTCTCCAAATGACCGAGCGGCGTCGGCCGAGATAGTCAAACCGGGCATGCCACGATAGCGCTCCTCGGTGTGCCATGTTGCTAGGCACACCGGCTGCTCCACCTTCAAGTCGAGCAGGTACAGTCGGTTTTGAGACCTCTTCACCTTGGCAAGAAGCCGTTACTCCTGGTCCTTGATCCTGAGGACGTCGTCCTCGATCAGTACCTCGCTGCCGCGCTCATTTAGCAGGCCAATGCTGATGATGCCTGAATGCAGCTGCGGAATGTAATATACATCCGTCAACGCGCGGTGCTCGCCATTCTGGCACCTGAAGATGATGGTGTCGCGCTCTCGGATCGCCACTCTTGGGCCATCACCGAACTTCACCGTGCCGATCATGTTGCCGTCGAGCTCGGAGAAGGCTTCCTTGGAGCCCGTCATGTGGTTGCTGGCGCCAGAGTCTAGGTACCACCGCTGCTCCTGCTCGCCGCCCATATGTCCGAGGTGGACTTGGGCGCACGGTTCATCCAGGTTGACAGCCTTTAGAGCCTTGTCGTGCCCTTCCACCGCCATCACCTTTCCCTTCTCCTTGGCCTCAACGTCGTGCAGTGCACAGAACGTCGCTATCAGGAGAGTGGCCTCATCATCCTCATCGGCCTGCGCTAAATGAGCCACAGCCTTCTTCTCTTGCTTGCGATTTGGGCACTCCTTTGCCTAATGGCCCGTCTTCCCACAGCGTCGGCAGGCGTTGGGGTCGACCTTCTTCTTCATCTCTGAAGAAGCCTTACCGCGGCACTTGCCATCGCCACCGCGGCTGGAGGAGGCTTCCTCGGACTTCTTCTCCATCCGGGCAGCCTACTTCTTCTCTATTAGCAGCAGCTTACCGTTGTCCGTCGTTGATGTGGCTTACTCCATGCGCTCGTCCACCGCCCACAGACGACCTGTCACATCCTCAATGGTGAGGGTGGACAAGTCCAGCATCGTCTCTATGGAGAGAGTGATCTGGATGTACTTCACTGGCACAGAGTGGAGGTGCTTGAAGACCGTCTCTTCTTCGTCGATGGTGACGTCGTGGCTCCTCAGCTTGCTGATGAGCGACTGCAGGCGGAGGGAGAAGTACTCCACCGACTCACCATCCTTAAACTTGAGGTTGGCGTACTCCTGCTTCAGCAGCTGGGTCGTCGCCTTCTTTGCGCGGTCGGAGCCAACGTGCATTGCTGCAATGGCCTCTCACGTCTCCTTAGCAGAGTTCTTCGCCCCCAACGGCTCTCTGTACTCTGCTGGCACAGCAGCGATGATAGCCTCCAACGCTGACATGTCGTCTTCTTCGTTGTTGGTGCCCTTGTCAATGGTATTTCAGAGCCGCCGGGCTCTAAGCTTGACCTTCATGGTCACCGCCTACTCACCATAGTTGGTGCGAGTCAGCGGCGGCAAACTGGTGCCTCTGACCTCCCGCACTGTGCGCACGACGACCTCCTGTCGTGGCTGGGCAACCACAGCAGCGCCGCTGCTGTCGCCCATCTCCAAACCGTCCGTCATCGCCAGCGGTTAGTCCGGTGACGACGCTTGTACGGCTCCGATACCACTTGTTGGTCCCGAGATCTCCAGCACGGGTGAGCCGACCGGTCACCGGCATTCTCGCTCACTATGGTTAGAGGTAGAAGAAGAGAGGGAGAACAGAGCGCACACACACAGCACAAGCACCAGCGTTGGCCGGAGCTCTGCAGATGAGATGACAAAACTGAACTCTCTCAACTTTACTGAGTCGCAGTGGGAAGCTATATATACAACTCTACCCATCTAGTCCCAGTACACAGAAATATCAGGCTATCATGCTGCTACAGCGACTGACAGCAGGGCTGACTTTGACTTCTGTCCCTGCTGTGGCTAGGCGGGAGGGCCTTTCAATATCTATCTCTGTCGCGGCTCCAGTGCAGTAGCAGGAGAGTCCTTTAACACCTACCCCTGCCGTGCGTACAGGGAAGCAGCAATTACTTTACAGCTCCTGTCCCGCCCCGCACACGCTCAACCGTTTCCGGCGCCGCCAAGAGTGGCAGGCGCTCGATCGTGTCGTGGACCCCCGGCCGTGGATTCCGCTTGCTTGCGCCTGCCACGGCCCACAGCGCGCGCGGGGTCCAAAACTCCACTGAGCGCATTTAGCGAGGTTTTACAAAAGTCCAGGCTGGTCAAATCTGTGTCGCGTTCATCACCTAAACTGAACCAATTTCATTCAAGACTTACAAACAAGCTCAGTGGACTGCCATAGTGGTTCATAGATATATTCTGAATCTGCATGACTTCATCTCCCTCATGTTCATGGCTTCATGCATGGGTTACCACACCGGTTTCATATATATATATATATATATATATATATATATATATGCACCAGGGCCGGATCAGTCATCAGGTCACAGTGGACATGTCACTCTGCTTGGCCACTCTGACGAAGACGTCTTCCAGCGTCGTATCAGCCAGGCCCCAGGCAAGGATGTGCAGGCTGCTCTTCGCCTGCTCCATGGCCCCGAAAACCACGGAGATCTTCATCCCCTGCTTCGGCATCTCGAACTTCTGCGTTCCCGAGACGCGGTACACCCTGTTGGCCGCGGGCGAGATGGACTGGACCAGCCTCTCGATCTCCTCCTCCTCTTCGCCGGCCGGAGTTGTTACTGTCAGCACGCATGAGCCTCCGTACCTGTCTTTCAGCTGGAAACAAGAAAGAAATAGGATGGATGGCCATGTCAGAGTTTCGGATCACTGGCTACTACTATCTGAAAATTTGATTGAGTGTGTAGTGTACCTCTTTGGAGCTCCCAATGCACTGCAGGCTACCATTTGCGATGATTCCGATCCGGTCGCACAAAACATCAGCCTCTTCCATCGAGTGTGCTGAAAATAGATAGATTCAAGCAATGTTTTCACCATCTGATTGCCAATCTCATGATGACAGGTGAGAGTCAAATAATGTACTTGTGAGAATTATTGTCCTATCCTGTTTCGCAGACTTGACAGCCTTCCACAAGTTTTTCCTTGATGCTGGATCCAAGCCAGAGCTTGGTTCATCCATATAAACAACCTATAAAAGCATTCCACCAACATATTTATTTATACTTATACGTGCACGAATATCAGGTGTTCCTTAAATCATGATTTCAGTTGATCAATAAAAATACCTTAGGATCACCAATTAGAGAGATAGCAACACTGAGACGACGTTTCATACCACCACTGTATTTCCCCACGAGTTTATCAGGAACACCACCGGCAAGCAAGTGCATACTTCTCAAAGATTGTTCAATGGCCTGGAAGTAAGAGATCACCCTATGATGTTTTTAGTAGCTTCTAGTGTACCATGATTTGGTTTATTTTGCAACCAGATAAATTTTTATTGGATTGTAGATCGAGCTTGAATGATTTGTACAAGAGTAGTAGAGCCCACAAACAAGAGATGATTCTTGCCTGGAAAGAACCCTACAGACTACAGTGACTAGTATTTTAATTCCATTCATCTACTCTTGATAGTACTTCAAGTGATCAATAATGACAGAAAGAAAAACATCAAAATAACCCATCACAACATTAGAGCAGTCAGGTCAAACAATACCTCAGCTAATGCTGCACCCTTTAATTTCTTAAGCCTGCCATAGAACAACAAATGCTCGCGACCAGTCAGGTTCTCCCATAGCAAGCTGCATCAAGTCATCCAGGAAAGAGGAAAGTCATCACAAAGTTCGCAACTAAATAAGCTAACCTGAAAAACTGGTTCAGACGAAACATCTGAGTGAGATAGAATAGTTTACTCATCCTGTGGACAAACACCAATTCCTGTATATATTCTGTCCATGTCGAAGCGTATGTCCATCCCTTCAATGTATGCAGTGCCAGAGGTAGGTTTACAAAATCCAGTCAGCTGTTGACAGGTTAAGAGTACTCAAAACATGATAATCAGTATAGCTGATGGATATTTGCAAAAGCTAAAATATATAGGAGGCAAACTCTGGAGTTCAGTTTTATACTACACGAACACCCAAACTTTTTTTTTCTTAGATTTGAAAGAACGCATAATTGAGTCATTAACCACCTTCTCTAAATAGAGAGATTGACCTGTACTTACATACCATAACCTATTGTATCCAAATCTATATTTGAACTTACCATGTTAATAAGAGTGGTCTTTCCCGCACCATTTGGACCAAGAACACCAAAACACTGTCCACGTGACATAGAAATGGATATCCCTCTAACTGCAATTTTATCTGCATTTCCATCTTTTCCACGGTACACTTTCTCAAGATTGTCGCATATGACTGAATAGCTTCTGCGAGATTCTTCTGATATCTGTTCAACTATCTCTCTCTGAAAAGAAAGATCAAAATGATAAATTGATGTGCACTACTTCACAAGTGACTTCGAATATAGATTAATCTGATTCTATATTTCAAGGTGCCTAAATTTTAAGATGATTTCAGGCAACATTCTTGTACAATCAACTAGTACAAGTAACTAAATTGTTATTTTTGTGATTTGTTATTTGTCTTTGTATGGTAATATATCAAAATTTTGTCCTTGTCTGACTATAGAAACACTTGTAAATTGTTAATTATCTTTATGCCAACAAAGATCAAATTTTGTCGGGTCTGTGGTTTTCTCTAAAGAGTTTTTTATTTTGGAACCGAAAATTGTAGATTATGCATTCATAAATTGCAATGAGCTAAAGCTGTAATTTTAGTATAAAATATATGCAATAAACATTGTATGAAGCAGAAAACACTAGAACTCATTAAAATACCAGGTATGTTCAAAAAATATGGGACTTGCTAAAATTCAATGCTTCATAAGGTTACTTTAATAACAACTAACCTGAAAATATTGTTTAGTGTAACATTTTAGGTAGTACATTGTGTAGTTTAAACTCCTCTCTAATTATCTCAACAGACTCCTGAAGCTCTTTCTAAAAAACAAGAAAAAAGATGGGAGTGTACCAAAGAATAGAGCAGAGCACACCTCTTTGATGACATCTGTTCTCTCCAATTCAACGGAAGCTCTGAATTCCTGAAGTTGTATGTTCTGCTGCTGAGCAGTTTCAACATGGTTCCCATTTATGCGGGAGCGAACAAATACTGCTGCTTTTTTCATTCCGTCTTTGAAGGAATGAAAATGGTCCAAATAGAATGTAAGTAAAAGGAATACGAACCATTCTAGTACCATAATGGTAAGCACACCTGCCAATCCATTTTCTGGATTAGTCATATCAGTCCACTGAATCCCCAAGAAGGCCATATAATTTCCAAGCCGTTCAAATCGTGAGAATTCATAAACAATGCGGTATAAGGAAAATGCAGGTAAAAGTTCCATAAGTGTGATCCAGCTTCCTTGAAATGAGAAAACACAAAATTTCCAAGCAACTTATTAGAATTAACGAAAAAAACTTACATAAAAAAGAAGATGACTAACATCGTGCATATCGACTTCATTAAGATATAGCTAGTGAACTTTGTACATACTTGAGAGGTTAGCATCTTCAACATAGGATCTGAATATAAATTGTGACAAAAGGCCAGACACAAATATGTACAAATATCCTGTCACTGCATGAAGAGATGCCAGATAATCAGTTCAGTAAAGAACTACAGATACTTCATACTATCTGATAAAATGGATATAATGCACACATTAACAGAAGCATACCAGTAGCTGTCCTCACACTAGAGAAGTATGTTGTCATAAGAAATGCAAATGAAATTTGCAAGTTCATGTAAGCAAAAAAGAATACAAACTGCACGCCATAGTTGTTCTGGCGGAAGAATGTTAAACCTGAACATAGAAATTGAAGTATCATTAGGTTTGCTTCCAATTTATAATAGTACCATGAGGCTCCTTTCCTTTCATTAAAATTAGCATAAAAAGTAAAATAATTTCGTATAAAGAGAAGCCAAGATCTAACTGCAATTATATCGGTGCTTGCGTCAATTCCCTCATGATCAGAACCACTATAAGTTCATCCTATGTTTCATTTTGATTATTATAAAGTACATTCCTAGTATTAAAAGTAATGTATCTTACCAAGGGCAGAACCAAATAGCATGAAGGACAGCACATAAAGCAGCGACAATAGTAGAAAATAGCAATAGGATATAGTCCAATACGGTAAATCTCCAAGACCATGCATCTTCATCATTATCCTTAGCTTATTTTGTCTGTCGATACAAGGTTTGTCAAAATTACCTGCAGAACCAACTCACCGGTTCACGAGATATGAAAATATTTATAATGTAACCACATTTGTATGCTTCTTCTAGTGACACCAAAACATATCAGATCATCCAATTCATATTGGCTATACAAAAGGAATCTACAAAGGCTTGTCGTATCGAAAAAGAAGCTCCATAGTCCATACAAAAGGTAGCTGCCCTATATATGGAGCCAGATCAAACCGGTCATTGTGTGCAGCTGGTATAGCTGCTCTAGGCATGTCTTTAACAAATTCAAATGACATATTGAGACCATTACCCTTTAAATGAAGGTATGCATTTGAGGCCTGAAAAATTGAAACTGAAGTGTAAAACAATGATGAAAGGGTGCCACAAATAGTTTGACAACAAAGAGAGTAGTAGTGCATGAACGAAGTCAATCAAGAAGCATATGAGAATGAACAAAATGTTTAGAGAACAAAGGGGTTCCAATGAAAGAAACTAAAGAAAAGTTTTCCAAAGAGATATACTATTATTTATCTCAACTAGGAAAAGCGATACCATATTAGCTAATCGTGGGACTTGATCCGAATTAGCTTTTTGCACTGGACGTTCTTGATTATTAAGCGCAGGGACAGATTGTTCTGATTCATCATAAAAACCATAGTTTGTGGAGTTGTATGAGATGATCAGGTTGAATTTGCCCTGATCAGAACTTAAGAAATCATATGCTGCATCACGTAGATGAACCACATATTAGATGCCAATGAGCAGCAGTTAGAATAACGGATTGAAAGCACAAAGATTCAAAAATATGACCTGCAGCAATTGCGTCGGTCTTATGGTTATTATTCCCTTGGTAATAACCTCCATATAATTCATCATTAATTAGCCTTGAACTGTCACGCCAGAGCACTAATCCTTCTGTGCATTGTACATCTACTCCAAGAGTTCCGGTAAGCATGAGTAATAGGCAAAATGTAGTAACATTGCTAAATAGTAAGACAGGAGAATTGCTTGTGGATTTATTTATCATTTTGCCATGTGCAAAGACCGTACTAATCCCAAATATCTTTACCAGTGTCAGCAACAGCTGAAGCCATTGGCACTGCGACCTTTTATTTAGTTGAACCGAAATTTTTATCGTCAGTGAGCAATGCAGCATTTGATCTTACATGGAGATAATAGTTACCTTGACTCACGGTACGATTGCCATGTTGAACTGGATAAGAAAGTGTCAAGTTAGGGAAGCACTTGTTCTGAAGAAAAGATCCTCCGTAATCTGCCTGCAGATATTCAAACATCACAAAATTGCTCTGTCAATAAGGATCATACACAGAGAACTCAAAGAATGAAGCAGCCTACCAGAACAAAATCAGACAACGCAGAAACATCTGCCGACAAGTTCACTGAAGAACTATGAGCAGTGAAAATGTTATCTATCACACCTGCAAGGAGAAAAAGGCTATTTCAGAAACCACTCACAGAAAGCTCGCACTGCACTGCACTCTGTCAGAATGGACAATTGAACAGCAAAAAAAACCTACCTTCTACAAAAGAGTGGTTGTCGCCAGTGACAAGGAATGTTGCCGCGCAAGACCCATTGACTCTGCACGACGCATCTGGGAGATCAGTGTACGGGAAGAGGCCATCTTGAACCGCGCGGTACTTGGGATTTGGGATCTTGAGGAAAGGGGGCTGTTTGGGCGCGCGAGGCAACGGGCACTCGTACTCGTACTGGTAAGGGCATTCTATGCCTCCCATCGCGTTCTCGTCTACGCTGACGTTGCTGCAGCTGCAGTCGAGATGGGTAGCAGGAATAGCACCTCCCTCTCCCTGCGACGACGATGCGTGGTTGATGGCGATCTGTAGGCCGCCGATGACGGAGCAGAGGAGCAGCGGGAACGAGATCAGACAGCAGTTCGTCTTGCAGGAGCGCCTCTGCGGATCGGGAGTGAAATAAACGAGTTGAAATTCAGTGTCATGATGAGTGATCTTGGTGTATTGTTCATGGAGCCGCAGATTCAAAAACGAGTCGAAATTCAAAGTAGCGTCAGTGCAGGGAATTTGCATCTATACTAGTGACTAGTGAGAGCAAAATTGAATCTTGGTATATTATTCATGCTGCAACTGCACCAAATTCTGTCAGTCAGTGATGGAATCACGAAAGGATCAATTTCATCCATTCGACGCAAGAACTTGAAAGATGCAACCTTGATTGGAAAAAATCCAAAACAAGAGGGAGATCAAGGCGGGGGTCACCTGGATTACAAGATTTTTCCTGAAGAGAGCATTGGTTTGCTCAAGATGGCTCGCGCCCATGGCTCTCTTGTTCTTGTTTGCCCTTGGAGAAGCCGAGAAGAGATGCTCTGATGCTGCACTCTCCTCTGCGGAGGATACTGGTTTTGAGCTTGGCGGTTTAAAAAGCTAGCACTGGCAGTATTAGCACCGAGCGCATGGAATATGCCAGCTTTTATTTGCGATTGGAGTTTGTCGTGGCCGTCACGGACAGGACACTCGCCTTCGGTCTTCCCGTGGACTCGTAGACCAACTCCTACTTAAGATTAGGCTGGAGTGATTTTTTTTTCTGTCCTGCAAACCACAGTACAAATGTAGGACATTGACATGATCTCCAAGACGACATTTAACACGCAGGAAACCAGGTCGCTGTCACCTGAGGAAGTGGCGCTTCGCAAAGAGCTAAAACGCAATGTCTTGGATTCTTGACGTCCTTGCCTGGCAATCGCCCGTCAGCGCTCACGTCTGCTGTTCCTCGTCGAGGGAGAAGCGAACACCCGATTCTTCCACCTGCAGGCTTGACACCGCAGCCGCAAGAACCACATCGCATCACATTGTCAAATAACTTTTGGCATTTGTCGCAAAATAAGAGAACATTCTCTTCGCATTGTCTCTTATCCTAAATATAAGTCATTTTTAGGACATTGGCACGATCTCGAATACGACATTTAACATGCAACTTGTATAAATATATGCTCCCTCAGTTTCAAATTATAATTCGTTTGACTTTTTTAACCTCAAGTTTGATCACTCGTCTTATTCAAAAAATTTGGGTAAACATAGCAAAATATTTAAGTCATTCTTGAAGAACTTTTATTAATAAAGCAAGCCACAACAAAAAAAATGATATTTTGCACAAATTTTTGAATAAGACGAGTAATCAAACTTAGAAAAAAAATCAAACGAATTATAATTTAGAACAGAGTTAGTACTATAGAAAGTTGTATTGTATGCTATGAAAGGATTTTCCATACGTGATTAATCTAGCAACGTCAATCATGTGTTATCAACCTACGTAATATTTTATATATTGATAATCTATACAACTAAAATATCCGTAAGAGAATCGTCGACCCTGCGTGCGATGCCTCGCTCGCTCGATCGCTTCCCCAGGTCCACTCACTCCGTCCGGCCCACTCGCCTTATACACTTGGCCGCACGGCTCTCTCTCCGCACGGCCCGCTCGGCTTCTCGCATGAGCACATGCTCCGCTCGCCCGCCAGCGTCGCCGCCGTTCCTCCTCGCGTGCAGATCCACCGCCGGCGCCGCACCAGCGAGTAGAGCCACCACCGCCGCTCCCACATGCAAAGCGCCGGCGCTACTTTCGTGCACAGCGCCGCCCCGCCGTCCAGCAGTCCGTCACCGAGCCGTTCCCCCGTACGGCACAGATGGAGTAGTCCGGCGCCAAGTCGAACAAGAAGGCGCCGCTCTTCTCCACCACCGCCCAGGTCACCTCAAATGATGGCGCCGTTCTAGATGGTGCGGACCCGGGATGCGCCTCCTCCTCTCGGGGTCTGTGCCGCCGCCATTGCTGCCACGTTCTTCCGAGAAGCCATCGTCACCGCGTTGGTCGTCGTACATGGCGTCGCTGGATGCTTCATCGACACATCAAGTCAGAATTGGAATCGCAATCGAATATCGAAGACACCCATTCGGATTCCATGGTACGCTCGACACGAACTCCTTCCGTTATTTTCCTGTTTATAGAGATTTTGGTTGAAACTGAAATTAAAAGTTGCCATTGGGACATCCTGATCTCGCAAGATTCGTTGGGACATCCTAATCTCGCAGGCAACCTGACCTCGCCGAGGTGGACAACGCTCCTGACCTCACCGGGCACGATCAAGCAAGGTTCGCTTCTTACATGCTGTTTCTCCCTCTTCTCTGATTCTTATGTTATTACTCATCATGTACTGACAAAAGTAGTAAAAGAAAGAGAGCGAAATTAACTGGGACATGTGATTTATGGTTCAAAATGTGCACAGTATGAGTAAAATCAAGTAACTCAGTTGGCAAATCATAATTTGTAGATGCTGTTACCTTTGATTCTCTTCCGATTTGCAGTTCCAGTGGCCATCCAGTGATATGTCTCTGAAGGACATCAACTTGGATGAAAGTTATTTTCTGCCTTGGCTTATAGGATCTTATTTCTTCATGTTTTGCCTAGACAGTTTGACAAAGACGAGCACCAATCCAGGAGGAGGATAAGTTTAACTTAGGCTCAGTGAACTTCTTTCCAAGTGTGAGTCCAAGGCAAAAAAGATTGATCTTGGTGAGGTTGACCTCAGGACAATCATGGATGGGAGCAAGGAGCTATATTCAGGACAGAGGCTTTCCTTTTGTTGTTCGGGATTTTGCTGCAAGCTTCGATTTTGGAAACAAGTCCGACGGTTATCACTTTGGACTTCTACATAAAAACATATAGCCTACACAAAACAAAAAAAAGAGACTGATTTCTAGATTTACCATTGTTTAGTATGTGATTATGGAATATGTTGTGAACTGTCTGCTTCTTTTCTTCTGAGGAAGAGCCAATTCAGCAATTGACAAAGAGCAAGACGGTTGCTATTAACTTGTCGAATATAATCAATCTGATCCTCTTTGTCAGAAAAGTCATTGACTCCTCTTTTTGTTAGAAAAGTCGTTGCTTCAGTTGAAACTGTATCCATGGCGTTTATAGCGTCAATGCTGGATTGCCTATTGGACCTTCTGTCAGGGTTCATACTTTGGTTCATGGCATATACACTATGAAAAAGCTGAACAAGCACAGCTATCCAATTGGAAAGCGCATGCAACAAGTGGTAAGGACATTGTTTATCTAACCAAATTACTTTGGTTGATTTTTATCATATATAAATTAAAGATAATAAATGTTCTTAATCACATAAGAAAAGCCTACTCAGATGTCAACTCTGAACTTTTGTGTTCTTGTACATTCTTCAGAATCAGTTTACTTCAAAAGGGTAGCTAAAATGAGTTACACACCGGCATATTTCTGAATTCCACAATACCTAGATCACTTGGAGTGTTGGCTATTGTTTTCAGAATTCCAGTTAACTGAATAGTTTGACATTTGTTACGGGGAATAATAATTTTCGCATTAGTACTGGGCACAATTGGCTTCCAAGTGCCCATCGAATCAGGGCACCAACTCATAACTCAGGTACATCATCTATGGCTCACATTTAGCATAACACCTAATATTAACTCACTTGGTTGCTAATACTAAACATGTGCGACGACTGTAGCACCCGGTTTTAAGAACAAAACCAGATACACACCATATATGAGCCTAGAAAGTCAAATTTCACATATAGCTACAAATAAGGGTAATATCAAAAGACAATACTTAAATACATAGCGTATTAGAATAAAGATTATAACCTCAGAGTATAAGACAGTGGAAAGACAATTCCGATCTTCAGGCGAAGACTCCAAATCCACAGGGACAACTGACTGGTTGATCACAAGCTTAATTCCTCCAAACTCTAACAATCTGGTACCCATCCGAGATTTTTATCTAAACAATTGGAAAAAAAATATAGCAAGCGTAAGTACATGTCGGACTCAGCAAATATAACATGGGGTTCATGAGGCTCAAAAGACTGACACTGGTTTAACTGCGACTAGCTTTTAATGAGTCATCTTTTAGCAAGGGTGACAACAAATTCATCACAAGCCCATAAACACATGATCAGGTAAACATGATTAATAAATAGTATAAACAGTAATCATTAGTGAGTATTTTCATCATCTGTATTCATCATCTATTCCGTAAATGTTTTAAGGCCGCTCGTGACCGTGAGCACGGCTGATATACCAGTGTTACACTCTGCAGAGGTTGTACACTTTCACTGTGAGTCGTGATTTACCCTTTCGCCCGAGGCGGCCAACCTCTTGACCCACTACCAAGGAAGGTCGGCAGGGTTCACTATGAAGCCTTTCAAAGGTTCGTCTAACAAGTTAGGGCCATTAGATTCACTCGGCAAACAGATATAGGAACCCCCTGTCGAATGGCACAATTCCATTACGGCTATACACATAAGAGTAGAGGTTGTCTTATACCCGATTCGGTAAGCCATTCTTACGCCAATAAAGGTAACCACTAACAAGCTAGAAAAGGTCCTCATACTGAGCTAAAGCCAGAGCCATATAGCCCTCACAGTTATACTGTAAGTCCCGGTTAAATCACTTACAGATAAATCCTTAGGGAGAAGAATCTAGAGCACCATAAAATAACCTAATGCTCTAGCCCCCGTGTTTCATGTTGCTAAAAAGCATCCTTTAGTGTTTATTGCATATTACAAGTTACAAGATCATGGTCTTTAATTGAACACTAGCATCATACTACCCAATGCAATAATCCAAAGATGTCAAGGCACAAGGTACAAAGTATTAGGAAATCCTTAGTGGTAGTCAAGGTAGACACATGCAGTATGAATTAAATGATTAAAGGTGTATAGGACAACAAGGAAGATCCCATGCTATACTTACCTTAAACTTAGATACTTCTTCAAGTCCAAAACTTCAAAGATATGCTTTTTGATTCACCACGTATATCTCACCGACTGGACGAAATCATAAAGCACCACGCAAGCATCCATACAATCATACACGAAGCAAACAATAGATCTAAATTAGAACAGTACACCAGTCATAGAAAAATAAGTGAAAGGGTTTAAAACACGATTCTACGCATCGCTACGAACATACAGACGCGAGAGACACACTAATCGGAGCAACGGTTAAAAAGATACAACTACCGAGAGATCTGCTCATAAAACTATTAGCTTTATGTGTTTTATTTATATAAAAACATATATAAGATATTTTATAGAGATTATAATTTAAGTCAAATTTAGATTTGATTTATAAAACTAAAGTGAAACAAATCATATTCTATTTATAAAATCCAGTTGCATAATTATTATTCAAATTAGAGTTTAAACCATAAAATTCTAGAAATAGTGACATGGTAACCACTGTTACTAACCCGTAGATCTCGTTGCTATGAATCTAACGCA